CAAATTTCCTCTGAAGTTAGACCCTGCTACGAAGGAGTATCTTTGGAAAGCGTTGGTGCGCGACCCTGATATTGAATTCTACGCGTTACCAAAAGAGAGGGCTCAAATTGTGTTATTTGACCGGTAAGTGTCATATAGTTGGTTAGCTAGTTTAGCTAATGATAACAAACAGAAACACACCAGTCAGTCGTCTAACTAACTAGCTTGCTAACTTGCTGCTTCATCTATCCGTGACATGTATCCATGTTCAGACTATCTTGCTAAATGATGTGTGTCAGATCCGCGATGTTCACTGATATTCGGATTTCATATTTCTCTGTTTGTAGATTTGCAGAAATCGACCCAGAGACAGGAATCCAGGAGATTCGAGGAACCACGCCTTCTGCAGACACGCGAGAGGACGTTTACCCTGTTCACATAATTCAGGAAAACAAAGACGGGATCCAAGGATCTTGTCTGTTTTTTAAAGAAAGGAAGAATATTACTTGTCTTATAAGGACTGAAGACTTTAAAGCACACTACACACTTGAAGACGCATTTAATAAGTAAGATACCATGGACCAGTAAACAAGTTTAATATCCATGGTAGCTAACCAGTTACAAAGCATCGTAATTCACTGTCATTTTTCAACGTTTTTCAGATGGGGAGAAAAACTCGTTGTGGTCGCCTCTCAACTGGTCCGTTACAGAGCTTTGATTGGCCCCGAGGGCGATCCTGGCTTGAAATTGGCAGATTCTTCATACTGCATCTTGGAGCGACTGGGAAGAGCAAGATGGCAGGGAGAACTTCAGAGGGATCTGCACAGCAGGGCCTTCAAGTACAAATGCTGATATCATTACCTACACCAATATGAATGAATACTTTTCATATATTCCTCAGTTTACTTGTGTACTTTTTTGTCTAAACATTACGGAGAAGACTGGTCTAAGTACCCAGTGCCCTGTTTTATCCTTGGAGATTCCTTTCCAGCCAAGCACTTACTAATTTGTTAGCTCAGTTACAACCTTACGATGCCTGCCTGTTTTGAAATTATTTTCCCATTTAAATTGCGTTAGAAATCCTGTTAGTCTGCAACCTTCCATGTCCAGGGTTTGCCACTCCTGCTGAAATGAGTGGGTGACATTCTGCATTTCTGTTTTGCACCATCAGAATGGATGCAGGGAAAATGCATTACCTGAGGAAGTCTTTGGACAGGAATGGCCTGATCACCCTCCAGTCGCATGTGATCCGGCTGTCCACTGGTGGCCAACAGCATTCCATCCTGCTTCTTCTGAAGAGGTTCCATGTGGACAGGTGAGGTGGCCTGTGCTGTTTGTAATTCATTTTGACAAAGCTACTGACAGAGCTTGACTCAACTGCTTATAAAATTAAGTACTGCGCAACAACCAAATTAAGTTTTTTCGTGGGACTACAAGAGCTTTGATGGTTTTGGTGTTTGATCATATATTGAAATAGTAAAAGATAAAACAAGTCTCTTGAAAGCCAGTCTTTAAACATTTCTGCATTATGTTTTGAACAACATTTCAGGCGGAGCAAGTATGATATCCTTATGGAAAAAACCTCCAATATACTGGCAGCAAGTCCAGGAAACATTGCCATCATGATCAAACTGCGAGAGCAACTGGTAAGAGGCTTTTAAAACGGTAGTGAAAAATACACTTAGATTAGCACCAGTGGAGAACAAGATGAGGGAAGTGGAAATTGATAGCGTGGTTCCATTTCTTGTCCAGTGTGTGAGCGAGCGGACGTTCAAGCGCGTGTATCAGTACATGATGGCTGCAAAGCTGGTGCAGATCATGTGCCTTCCTCTGAGGGAGCTGAACCCAGACGGAGGGCCATGCAAAACCAAGAGAGGTAATATACATTCCACAAGCGACCAGGATTTTAATGACCTCTCAGCGCAAAGGACACAAAGGCAGCTCCACTGTGTGTGTGTGTGTGTTTCCCCTGCAGGAACTGATATTATGGTGCGATGCCTCAAGCTTCTGAAAGAGTATGGGAAGAAGGAGGAGGAGGATGATGATGAAAATGATGAAGAGGATGGTGGCAGGAAGGTGCCTCATGTGGACGGACGGGTTATGGAGAGAGACACGCTGATGCAGGCTTACGAATTAAGTACGTTCACCCTCTCATGTTTAACTAGTGTGGATCATAGTAACGAGCAGATGGAGAGTAGTATCTTTATTTTTCTGCAAATTACAAATATAAAAGTGAAAATGTGATAGTGAAGTGTTTTTGTGCATAGATGGATTTCAAATTGTTTTGCAAGAAAAACCAAGGCTAGCATTGAAAGAGCTGATGGTTGCTGGATTTTCTCATTAACAGTTGTATCCAGTGGAACAAAGGGGATTTCCCAATCTGCTCTTCGAGGGCGAATGAACGTGGGAAAACTAGAAGCACGTATGGTATGTCGTCTTCTGGAGCGAAATGACATGGTCAAGGTAGGCTTGTTCTTTTTCCCCTAAATCTGTCTTGGTTGCTGTATACTCTGTGTTGGTAGCTTCCTGTGACAAAGGAAGTACAGTTGGAGGCAAAGACTTGATTGCTTGTCTGTCTTCACCAAAGGGCTTTATGGAGGATGAAGGGCGTCAGAGAACCACTAAGTACATCAGCAAGGTCTATGTGGAGCAGAGTGACCTGAACAGGCAGTTCGTTAGGGAGCAGGCTCGGAGCGAGAAGCTGAGGTCAGGCGCAGCGGCTCCGCTGGCAGGGTCAGAGGCTGAAATTTCCCTGTGCACAGAGGCCGTGTCAAGTGTGTGTCCTGGAGGTGAGCGAGAGGAGGTGGATGGAGAGAGAGAGGAGAAGGAGCAGCAGCCACCACCAAAATGCAGCTCATCTAAAAAACGCACAAAAAGTACAAAGAAAAATCTCAAGAATGGCAAACAAAGCAAGCAACCCCCGCTAAAGCAAACCAAGCTGGACTTTACTGTCAAGCACTCCACGCCTATTAAGAGTGAGTGTGCATTACACATGGAGTTGTTTATTTGCTCGACACAAGTTTTCTTTTTCAGGCTCATGTTCACAGTTTACTAAACACATATCTTCATATCCAACTGAATACCATCTGCCAGCCATTACGGAGACATTTTGTGTGAAATGGAGGAACTGTGATATTATCCTCTGAGAATTTGAAAGGGTTGTCCTGTGCAGGTTTGCTAAGATATGGTTAATTGAAGTAGTTGAAATATGTTGTTTTTGTGCCTACCCAGGTGTCCTTCAAGATACTGTAATACTTGATGTATGAAGCATGCAGTCACAATCTTGTCCTGTTAAAGCTCTTAGTAAAGACTGCTATATTTTTGGCTCTTGAAGTTTGTTGAAAATTGATGAAATAGATCAGTTTTTCAAATTTCAAAAATATGATTATTTTATAGAATGTTAAATCGCTGTTAGATTTTGGATTCTACAGGTGATGGTGTAAGAACAGCAATTTTAAGACTGTAGCTGATTACGCCCCCCACCCATTCTTTAGTGTACGTTTACTCTCATTGGATCGCATAGATCTCATATTGCAGGCAGAGAAAGCAATACCAAAGTTGGTCCCATTAGACTCAGAATGTCCTTCAGGTTAAGTAACATACTCAAGGATTTGATAGCACCCTGGCAGTCTAATCCACAACGTCTTGCTTAAGGGCCCAGTTCGTTAAACATTTCTACAGCAAGCTGCTGCTGTATATTTAACTTTTTTTCTGGTTACCTGTGTTTCACGTCACACTCCTTGTGTAACAGAAACAATCCCACCCTCTTTGAAAGTGCGTGGAGATGAGATCAAAGAGGCAAAGGTGAAGCTGGCCAGGTGTGACATAAGTGAGGTGCGGGAGGAGTTGGACCCGAGTCTGGACGCCACCTCCAGTCAGGCCACAATCCTCAGCAGCAAGAGCAGCAGCGATGGAGCTGAAAATGACGCCTGTGTGACAGTCATAGAAGAAATTGTCAGTCAAAAGGTGGTTTTTTTTTTTTTTTTTAACGCTTCTTTGATTCTGTTGTTGCCTAATTGAGGCTGTTGGTTGCTCTTTCCTCTTTTCTCCTTCCAAATGTCTTACGAAAGTGATCTTCTTGTCCTAGCAGCCATGCAGTGTTGCAGCAAAGAAGAGTACCGGCTACGTTGATGGGCCTCATCAGACATACAGGCTGCTGAAACGCAAGAACCTCATCATTGAAGCTGTCCGCAGCCTCAAAATCATTGAGAGCTTGTACACGTGAGCAAGGCTAGACAATAGGAACAGCATTGCTAGTGTGTGTATGCTGTGCTGATGGTCTGGTTTTGATGTATCCTTCGTATACGGTGTTGGAGTTGAGTTTTTTGGCACACTGAACCTGAGTTTCCTCTTCACTGACATCTGTCTCCTGTGGCCAGGTTGCAGAGAATGATCATGGATGAGGAGAAACAAGATGGTGTTTCCACCAAGTGCTGCAAGAAGTCAATAATGAGACTGCTGAAAAGCCTCTCCCGAGAGGGAATGCTCAAAGTGTTGTGCACTACCATCATACAGGATGGCATCAGCAAAAAGGTATCAGCAAAAATAATCGGGGGCTGAGTGAATGTGGATTTGCTGAAGGTGTGTAGTAACATACGGCGATGACAACGGATGACATGTAAACCCAGAACAGTGCTGGTATTTTTGTTGGATGTCAGGCATAGTTCTGTTTAACACTGCTCAGCTTCATCAAGCTCAAAGCTTTGAGTCTTTAGGCACAGTTTTTTATTTGTTATTTTTTAATTTGTGTGTATCAGGTAGAGTTTGTAGTCCATCCTTCCATCAGCCCAGACGATCCCCTGGTGAGAAGTGCCATCGAACAGATCCGTTTCCGCATCTCCAGCTCCTACTCGGCACACCGGTGAGAAGTGTTCTGATAAGTTCTGATAAGTCATCATGCGGTATCACTGACTCCGTGGTTTGAACTAGGCATTGCATTACGTTACGTTGCATTTATCCATTTATACAGCAGGATATTTACTGAGGAAATTCTGCATTAAGTGGCTTGCCCAAGGGTACAACAGCAGTACCCCATCAGGGAATCGAACCAGTGACCTTTTGGTTGCCAGTCCTACTTTTTACCACTAGACCACACTGCTGCCCTAGAAAAGAAAATGCCCTGTCTTAAAAGCGGGGACTCCAAAAATAGCATAGGCTCACCCTTGTTCCTCTCCTTGGAAATCTTTAGTAAAAGGCAAAAGATTTGTGCATGATGAAGAGAAACCAGAGCGGAACCACTGCATTGTACATTACAGAAAGGCATTGTTTGGTTGTTTTTTGATAAGTAAGTATATGGTAGCATGCAGTAGCTCCACCCTTTATAGGGTTAATGAGGAGTTACTCTGCCATCACGAGTTCCCAACGGAGTGGAGAGAGGACCATGGGTGCTTGTTCTAGGCTTGTTCTAGAGGAGCTGTGCCTCCTCGCCCTAACAGGATGAAAGAGACTGAAGAGGAGGAAGTGAAGGGCAAGGAGGCTCAGAGAGGGGATGAACGCAGCAACAAAAACGCTGAGAGCCCCTCCAAAACCCCAAGGAGCAAAACAGATGAGAAGATGGGAATCAAGCAGCTGAAGGACTTCAGGCCTTCCATCGGTAATCAAGACCGTGCTCTGTGCACTGTGCTCTCCAAATGTACTTAATGTGCATACAGAATGACAGATTTTTTTGAACAGTAATATCTGAAGTGATTTTTTTTAGAAACTATTAAAATACTTTTTTTTGGATGTAGTTCCAGGTCTTGGTCGATCCCGCGGCTTTCAGCCTAAAATGCTTCGCCTGAGGCTAGCACACTCGTTCCTGTGGTACCTCATTTATGGCCATCCACTGAGAAGGTCCCCAGATGAGAACAAGAGCACTGGGGAACAGGGGGAGGAGCCAGGTCCCAGTGAAGCAGCCCATCAGACTACTGAATCTACTGAGTCATCAAATCAGGCCCTGCCCTCTGGGGACAGGTCCAGCGGCGGGACCGCCAGGTCTGAAGAGACAGCCTGTGCACCTGATCTGTGTTCGTCTCTGGTGCAGGGTGAGGAGGGCAGAGAGATTGGTAAGTCTTAACTACAAACAAAGAGAAATTGTCTGATTATCTTTTCAGTACATATGACTGAAATGGATGAGGCATCACTGTCCTGCTGTGTGTGTTTGTGCCAGTGTACGTGGATGACCTGTCCTGGAAACGGTACATACCCCTGACACCCCTGCACAGAGAGTTTGGCTATGGCTGGGCTCTCACCAGTGACATCCTGCTCTCTCTTCCTCTCTCTGTCTTTGTCCAAATCATCCAAGTCAACTACCAGGTGTGTACGTTTTTACATCCATACATTTATACATATAGCCTTGGGACTTTTAAAAAGGTGTCTCTACTTTGAAGCCCTAACTGAAAATGATCTAGCTGTGTTCAATATTGTTATTGTTAATGTGTTTAATATTGTATTACAGCACTTGTATATAATTTACCTCTGTGATTGAATTCAGGTTGATGGCTTGGACGCTTATCTGAATGACCCAGTGAAACAACACTTTCTCATTAGATTCCTGCCAGGGAAGATGAAAAGGCAACTCTTGTATAAAAGGTACCAGGAGCTTTAGGTGGTGCTGTTTTTTTTTCATCTGATGATTTTATAATTCTGCAGCAAAGAGACAATTAGAGGTCTGTTTCAGCTCAACTGTGCAATGGTTTGTGTGTGTTGCAGGAAGTACATCTTTAGCTTTTACGAGAGCATGCAGCGTTTGTGCTACATGGGACTCCTGCAGTTTGGACCAACTGAAAAATTCCAGGACAAAGATCAGGTAGATTTTCTTCCAAAAGAATCTATGTGCGTAAAGTGCTTATGTAAAGGACAGACACCCAAAGAGGATTATTGCTGCGAGATAAGCGTGGAACCTCAATAGCGTGAAGGGGTTATGTATGTATTTATTACTGTGGTAATCTGTCTCAGGTCTTTGTATTTGTGAAGAGGAAAGGCACCATCGTGGACACCACCACGTGCGAGCCCCACTATAATCTGGCCCTGTCAGCCAGGCCCTTTGAACGTCGAAGTTACACCTTCAACACCCTCCAGGATGTTGAGAACTTCTGGTTTGACCTGCAATGTGTCTGCCTCAACACACCTTTAGGTACTTTCTCTTACATTTGTGTCCTTTTTTGAAGTGTCGGTGGAAGTACTGCTTACCCAGCACCTGACCCGAATGGTTATCAGTAATCCTTTGAAGCTAAGCCAGTGAACTGTGTAAACCTGATTTCAACACTCTCTGATTGGGGGTTGTGTGCAGTGTGAGTTGCGTGGCATCCTCTCTGCTTGAGCAACGATGACACCCTGTGGTCAAATGTGCACACCTACACAAATAAAAACAACTTGGAAAGCTATGCTCAGATAGGATGGCCGCTGTGGGTATGCAGATTGTTGTTCCCTGTGCAGGTGTGATAAGGTGCTCACGTTCAAAGCCAAGCCAAACCAGTGATGAGCAGGAGGGAGAGGAGGAGCTTGACACCTCAGCGGCCATGGAGCCAGAGCGGCCGGACCAGAAGTATTCCAGAATAGCATACACGCTCAAGTAAGTTTGGCGAAGTGATATGTTGTTGGGGGCGGGGCGATAAGTTGAAGGAGGTGGAACTAAATGTTTGTGGGGGCGGAACGATATGTTGATGGGGTGGAGCAAAATGATGACGGGATGAAGCGATATGGATATATGTTTGGAATAATATGTTGATGGGTGTGGTCTGGAGACTGACACCAAGTGTTGTATGCCCCAAAAGGGGGAGTGCAGAGGTGACAGATGATGGTGTGATTCCTGGGGACGGTCTAGGCGCGGGGGGGCTAGACTCCTGCTTCTTTGCTCACCTGAAGCGCAACTGGATCTGGACAAGCTACCTCCTGTCCAAGTCCAAAAAGGTCAGTGCTTCCACTCTCTTCCCTCCCTCACATGACAGCGTACACTTGTCACTGATAAAATATTCCAGTATGTGTGTGCTCTTTACACTTGCCATCTTTCATTTCAGCCTAGCAGCACTTTAGAGAGTAACCCCACCCTCCGACTGAACAACCTCCTGACAAAGCATTCCTTACCTCTGTCTATGTGTGGTGGTAAGGCACCTTGTTTTAAACCTGAGGTTTTCTTGTGTTTGTGATGTGTGTTTTATTCACTTTTTCAGGCCTCTGTGGTTGAGCAACGTGATTATGTGTGCGTGAGAGAGCATGAGTGTGAGTGTATCAGATTACACAGATACAGATACAGATTGGGTTGATTACACAGTGGGCTGCATGAGAGTGTGGCGTTAGTCTGAGTCAGATGTGCCTGTAGGGCTGTCTAATGCTAACCTGTGAGTGGGTGTGGGTGTGTGTGTGTCTGTGTAGACTGTTTGTAGACTCTGGTGTGTGCGTGTGGAGCTGTGTCATGCTTATCTGTGTGTGTGTGTGTGTGTGTGTGTGTGTGTGTGTGTGTGTGTGTGTGTGTGTGTGTATGTGTCGCTGACTCAGTCAGGCACAGGTACATATCTGCTCCTCTGCTCTCCCCAGGAAGTAAAGTGAAAAGCAGTATGGACCCCAAAACGCTGGTGGTGGAGGAGGAGGTCCAGATCACCACCGAGCCCAGCAGCAGGAACAGCCGCGTCGTGGGCGGGAAGAAGCAGAAGCGCAAGAGACTGAAGACTGAGAAAGTGAAGGAGCCGAGGAAGAGGAAAAGAGGTGAGCGGTCATAGCCTCTGCGGGCACAGTGGCGGTGTGAAAGTGAAAGGTTTTTCCCTGCGCAGACAGGCTGGTTTGTCATGCCGTCTCTGTTGTGCCGTGTCTTAGCGGGGAACCAGCAGGACAAGCGCATCCGTCTCCCCTTCCATGACGAGGCCGACCTGAGCGCTCTGAAGAGGATGACTCGACAGCGCGTGGCCTGGACCCTGCAGGAAGACAGCCTTCTGCTGCTGTGCCGTGTTGCCAGCCACTTCCTCAATCGCAAGGTAGCACAGCCATGGAAAAGAGTTTGGGGAAACTGTTAAATATGACCTGGTTCCACCACAAAACTCATCCATGTCATTAGGCCTTGTTTGGCACTGGAATGCTGGTAATGCCAGCAGTGATGTGCTTTCAAATAGACCAGATGTTCTAAAACTAGTAACTCTGAGAATCCTTGCCCCCTGCTCGTGTCCATGAGTTGTCGTGTTTGTCTCACAGATTAGGAAACCCTTCGTTCCCTGGCAAGTGGTACGTGACCTGCTCCACGCACAGTTCGAGGAGTCCCTGGACAAGACCTCACTGTCGGTGGGCCGGCGGTCGCGGTACATCATGAAGAACCCACAGACCTACCTGAACTTCAGGTGGGCGACAGTTTTTATCCCTGTTCTTATGTCATGGGGGGGGTATTCGAACTGGGTTATTCGCATGCCTCCTCTGGATTTTACTTCAACCTCCGAAGCTTTGTCTCAGGAGGGCGCACATCTGTGCCATTGGAGCTTTAGCGTTTTTAACATTTCAATTTCAGATTGTGGTTTTTTTTTAACCTTAATCACAGCACAAAAGCAACACCATCTGGTCTGATAACATCCCTTTAATTCGGTAACAAATCCTCTCTTTTAATATTTTTATCCCCTGCTTTACTTTTTTGCCTGTAGAATATGCCTGGCAGAGGTATATCAAGATAAATCCATCATTGAGGAATTTCAGAACAGGCGCAACAACTATGAGGACCCAGAGGTAGGACTGGCATTCTGATGCATTTTTAAATGCACACAGTTAGCAAATGAATCTGTTTCTGACCCCATTTCAGCATAGTTCTGTGTGTCCAATGAAAAGCATGGTCACTCAAGTTCATTAACTTCAAAAGCCACATGAAGTCAAGTGTCAACAAATCTGTTACCTTTTTTGTTAAGGGTGCCATTAAATGCTATTAACCTGGAAAGACATTGTTGGTGTAAAAAGGTCGAACTACTACATTTTAAAAGTTGAGTTACCTTTCTTTCAGAGCAGAAGTGAAATGATCAGAGGCCAGCACTGTTCCTGTGGAACATGAGTTCCTGTTGCATTCACAGATTGATGTGCTGTTGTAGGTATGCGCATCTGAGTTCAAAGAATTTGTGGCTGCGCTGAAGCAGAAGTTCAGCGCTGCTTCAGG